GCAGGTGGCTGAATTTTACGGAGACTTGCCACGGTCTCCAACCCTCCTCCTTCCTCATCCGGGCTTGGGACCGGCCATGGCGGAGTTGAACTTAGTAACTAGAAAAAATTTTTTGCTCTGATGCAGAAGCGTGAATTGTTCAGTAGCTTTCCTCTCCGTCTGATTTCGACCTTATTTATCAGGATGATCCATCATTCCTCCAACTTGCCCTCCTTGTGGTGATGCAACGAATCAAGTTGCCATTCCTCAAATCTTGATCGTTCTCTGTCTCCACATCGAGTTGTAGGTATTGTATTGTTTTGGGAACTATGATAGCCTGCACTTGTTTACCGGCTGTTTCGTTTCTCGAGCACTTTTCAGCGAGTAGTTGTTCAGCAATCCATTCAAGACATCAATCTTAGTGAACTATTGCCATCGGATGGAGAGAAGTGAAGTATGGTGGCGATTTTGCTCATGGAAGAATATCATTGGCCAGTGGCGAGGCTACCGTGGTCTCAACGTATCGAATGAGGCACCTACACAATCTTCTAGCCTTCACTTCAGCAAAACAGCATATTCGATGACAGATGTATAGCAAATTTCTGAAAGACGAAGTATTTTCGTTCTTGTGTTTGACAGTAATACCTGTAGAGGCACAACGCTGTCAATTCAGCTTCATTAGACATAACGCAATACTGTGACATAGTGGATGATGTCGGTTTCAGTCAGTCCAGTAGTGCACCATGTTGCGTCTTATTACTGCTTTTATAGTGCATTAAACGATTAACACAAGTACTAATTGTTTCTTTCTCGAACAGTTCTATGCCCCTGGCTACGAATGTGGAATGGGCTTTTCGAAAATGGGGAGAAGAAGAATTTTCTGCACTTAATCCATTGACCGCAAGATACATTGGCAAAGGATACCTGCTGAAGAAAGACTTGGCTCTTCTAATAATTAATGTCGAACTCTCTCAAGGTGGCGAGTACTTCTGTCGTGATAAAGACTCGAAAATTGTACATTCGATGTACTTTCTAGAAATTGTGGAACGACTTCCTGTGAATGTGGTATTTTATTTTACTTTTAAAAACTCCAAATGCCGATATTCATCGTTTTCGCTCGTTAGATTATTCCTGAAGCCGCCGTGGATCAATCACAATTCGCACCTACTGTATTTGATGACTTAGACACTGTAGTCGAACTGCAGTGGTCGACGTGGTCGGCATGCAACCGTTGTCAGTTAGGCGAGCGCCGTCGTTACGGCTACTGTCGGTTGAAGGTATAACTTTCTCACTACCATATGATCGTAGGGTGATACACTTAAAGATGCGATGAGGGGAGAGAAGAATAGAGGAAATTATGGGAGACAACACGTGAGGCGGTTTGTTCTGAATTCCTCTGAAACGTTCTCAATTTAATAGCTACATTTCCATATTCTGAAAGCAGTGTGGAGCAAACATAGTTAATTGTAGTTCGATGGCCAAAGGGATCAGAAATTATATCTAATCCAAAGTTTAAAAGTAGTTGGTAGCTTAGCACTTAAATTAATTGTTCCCTCCTTCGACTACTTGAAATGCCATTGAGTATAATGCAAGCTCATTGGCTAATGCGTGTTCTAAACCGCATCGTGTTGACTACTACCATTTCAAATACAGTAGGAATTATCTCCTGCGAAATAGTGAATTTTCGATACTGACGATTTAATGGCGATACATTTAGCCACTGTCACAGTCGAGTGAGATGAGTGATTCAACGTTGAAAAAACTTTTTGAACTGTTGCCAGGTGGCGTTCCTTGTCATTCAACCTGGGTACCCGAAAAGCTGCGAATCAAACAAGTTGTCAATAGGGCTAACGTTAT